TTAAAATTTAAGATGTCAGTTACGCCCTCTGGTGGGCATTTTTAGAACTTGAAAATATTTTCCAGCGATTCTTCATAACCGATTTACCTAATAATTTTTTTACCCCTGTCATACGACGAACGGTTCCCGAGATATAGCCGAGTAACAGTCTTATTGGATCACCCGGTACAATGATGGGTTAGAAATAAGCCAACGAGAAATATTAGTGTTGTGTACTGACTAGTTGAATGTTACAAAATCAGTCTATCTCTAATTTCTTGAAAGTACCTTCAATTCCGAACAATTCGTTAAATTTGGTGACCGGGTGAGGTCTCTTCGACTCGTCCGCAACCTTTCTCTCTTCATCTGCAATAAAGTCCATGTTATTCAGCACCATCTCTACCGTTGCCGCTAAAAATCAAAGTAAGTGAGTTTGAATTTGAGTGTCGGTCGGGACCTCTCATCTCCTGAACCGACCCCAGCGAGCCTCCATAATCTTTTGGCATGCAATCAAGAGGTAAGGATTTGTACAAGGTCTTCTGGTAGTCGCTGTGGATGTGGATCTACAAGCATTTGTTGTACAGTACTGGATGACCGATTACTGGGTACCATCTCAATGATCTCCTTCTTCATGATCGGTTTCATGAGTGCGAAAATTTTGTCGAGACGCGTACCGGCGTTGATGAAGTGGGCAGCTGCGAGCTTCATTGGGAGTGCTTCCTAGGTGTGATGGATGGTTAGTTAAAATGATAGCCCTCATACTTGCTTACCTGCACAAACACGATTAGTCTTTTCAATACCATCAAGTTGACTTTCGCAAGGTGCGCTAGTGAATATCCTTCCATATCGACCACTCCAATCATCCCATCCAAAGTTCCCTTTTGGAGTATCGTCAATTTGAAAATGGTTTCCAGGTACTTGATCGCATCGGTGAATACGTACTTGCTTGGGTCCGGATTGTTAATCTTGCAGTAGAAAATTTGGTAACCTTCAGGCGTCAGTTTTGGTAACGGTAATACCGTTCTGTGTCACATACGATCATACATCTAAAATGATGGATTATCAAACTCACGCCACATCCAAAGCTAGTCTCCATGTCTCCGGGTCGCGAGGACCAAAAATCTCCGGAATCATTCCGCGCAACGTGAAATGGTTCTCTATGGTCGTCTTGGCCATCTCCACCTTACAATCGCAGCTGGAAAGAAGAAGGATCACTTCAAGATCTGAAACGCAAAACTAAAGTTGAGTGTGCGCTGAAAGTTGGGGCTACCGCTAATTTGGGGTAAGTGTGGTTGTTTTCCCATCCAGGATTTGAGGTATTCCACATCTTCCTTGTGTAGGTCTTTGTGTTTCGCGTACTGTAATGGCACATCTGCATAGTTCAGTGGCATTGTAATGCTCTCAATGGAAATCACTACTGTTATCTGCTGCCCAGTTCCCTTCGACCTCGCTGAGAGCACAAACACTGATTACTTGCCTTGAACCATGTCGTAAATACTGATGACGTTTGCGGATCGTGTTCACATACTCTTCTCGTTTACAAACAATGAAGTTTCGGTTCCGGATTAAGGATGCTTATCTAACAAAGCGTCGCATGGAAAAAATTTTAAGGTTATGAGAAACCAATAAAACAGTGCCCCATTTAGAACTAAACACGTGTCACTCCGTCATAAAAGTATGATAATAAATACAAGATAAAATAAAGTCCGAGGTGGCGTGTATAGTTTAAATGCAAAATTCAGACTCTCAATTAGAACTCTCAGATCTCAGATCTTTAACTCAACTTTTAGATCTCACGGTAAACAAAAGAGTAACGGAAGCGTGGCGATGATTTTCTTTACGAATCTAATACAGGATTGCATACCAATGATCCCCACTTTTTTTAAATTTTGTAACACCCGCCAAAGTGGCTCAATAGGTTACTCGTTTATCCAATTTCCTTTTGACCAATCTTATACTTTTCAAAGCCTTTAGGCAGACACCACTAGGGTTTGCAATTGGTAACTCGGCGATTTGCATGCTGCGTTGTGGGGATCAGTCCGGGACGTTTTGGAGAGGCATTAGTTCGTGGACCACGAGATCGTTTAGTGGTATTAATCATGTTTCGAGCACAATACGGGAGATTAATTCAAATTTGAGTTACCAGAACAAGCAGTTACGAAATCAAAAAGTAAATTCGTTCCTAGAGAGATTCGGGCACCAATTTGTCCAGGTATCGGCCCCACCTCATCGAACTTGACCCTAATGCTACATTTTTTGGGTGGAGTTGCGTTTTAGGGCTACAGGATAACAGTATGTTACAATACACGGTTGCAAACCCCGGATCCCTAAACGGTTCAATTTTTGAACACGCCCGAAAATGGCGCTAATAGCTTCCAGCGGTCATCTTTACCCATTTAGCCAATCAACTTTTTTCTTTTTGACCCATCATCCTTTTAAAAGCACCGCTAGGGTTTAGAATTGCTACCTCGACAATTCGCGTGCTGCGTCGTGGTCTGATTATGTGCAGAATCAGCCGTTTGGTTACGTAAAAGCTATTAATTTTTTCATCGCCCGTTATCAGCCGTCAGACGGCCGCCAACTACACTCCCTGCAATTAATCGGTCAGTGACGCATAGGGTAATCATTGACTTAAAAATCAAAGAGCGACCATTGAGAAACCATTGACTTAAAAAAGTATTGCCACAAACCCCAAAATTTTGAATGCTTATGTAGAGTAAGATGCATCTTTAGCATCCTCGAAGCGTAGGTAAAGGTAAAGTTGGGATTTTCGGTACCTTTTTAACGGTTCGGGCAGTTTAGGTATTACACATCGTAGAAAGTCTACGCGGCAATAAAACTAGAGGCTCAAATTGTCCAATAAATAGTGAAATTGTAAAAGTCCGAAAGTAATTGGTGGAATTAGTTCTGGGTGACCCAATAAGACTATTCCTCGGCCGTATCTCGGGAACCGTTCGTCGTATGACCTAGGGGTAAAAAAAATTTTTACGTAAATCGGTTATGAAGAATCACTGGAAAATATTTTCAAGTTCTAAAAATGACCACCAGAGGGCGTAACTGCAATCTTAAATTTTAAAATTGCATTTTCTTTAAATTTCGCATAATAAACTAAACATTCTTTTTTCGCATTTTTAAAGAGAACCAGTTCATCTATCATTTTTGTAAAAGCAAAAACTCAGTTATTTCAAAAACAAAGATGCTGTGGGGCGTTCAATTGTTTTTGGCAATAACCTGCTTTCACTTCTTAACGGTTTGACCGATTTTAACAAATTTGGTATCGTTGAAAAGAGCATTCCTTGGGCATTGAGAATCAACCAAAATATAGTTAATTTAGTTGAATCCTTCCCCGCCAGAGGGCTATCCTTGACACTATTATCCAAAATCCTAAAAAAATCAAAAAAATCAAATGGAATGATATGAGTTCTTCTTTATCAAAAAGCAGCCAAATAACACCCAAAGAGGCCAGTGAAAACCGTTTTTCAAAATCTCGTTCCTAACCTCAAATATTGGGAAAATGAGATTAATTAATTAATTAATAGAAATGCTTGAATTGTATCTTATTTGACGTATTTTCGGTATTTGTCGATGCATTATAAAATAATAACAGCCGTAATTTGTAAATTATTCTGCTGTGTTTACATTCAGAAAGTGCAGTTCTTTGAATCCTTTCTAAAATGCCGATTTCTAATCAAGAAGCATTTAATATGCTGGCGGCGAAGGTTCGTGGTCGATTCGGATAACGCAAATAGAAGATGCGGGCAGCGATGGTCGCATTTTGAGAACACTCAAAATATATCGCCAGCATATTAAATGCTTCTTGGTTAAAAAGCGGCATTTTAGAAAAGATTACAAATCCAAAAAACTGTACTTTCTGAATGTAAACACAGCAGAATAATGTACAAATTACGGATGTTATTATTTTATAATGCATCGTGTTTCATTTGTTTAATTTTCCAAGGCCTACCTAAAAGTGTAGGGTCCTTTTCCAAACAATCTTTCGCGCCATCGGCAAATACCGGAAATACGTCAAATAAGATACAATTTAAGCATTTCTATTAATTAATGAATTAATCTCGTTTTCCCAATATTTGAGGTTAGGAACCAGATTTTGAAAAACTGTTTTGACTGGTATCTTTGGACGTTATTTGGCTACTTTTTCATAAAGAAAAAGTTATATCATTCCATTTGATTTTTTTGATTTTGGGTTATAGTGTCAAAACTAATTTGTTAAAATCGGTCAAACGGTTAAGTTAAAACAGGTTATTGCAAAAACAATTGAACACCCCACACCATCTCTGTATTTGAAATAACTGAGTTTTTGTTTTTACGGAAATAGATAATCTAGTTCTCTTTAAAAATGCGAAAACAATTTTTTTAGTTTATTATGCGAAATTTAAAGAAAATTGTATATATCGATAATCGACATTATATAGATAATCGGTAATTATAGATAATTTATCGAAATATCAATAATCGAGGTCTATCGGGAATTATCGATATTTATCGGTATATTTGATAGACTTCAATTATCAATATTTATCGATAATTTTTCACAGCCCTAGCAAGGAGTAACCATGACCGTGGCGTGAGAGAGGCCACTTATGACAGACTTGCTACGAAATGAAAGGAAATTGAAAATGTTACTGTTTCTAACCACTAACAAACCCAACAAAGCAATCACGCCGTCTTGTTGGCTCCCCATTTCTCGACTGTAGAGAAATCCTTCACCCATCCGGTTTACTGTAGCGTGTGTGATCTCTCGCCTGAAACCGGAGAGGTAAACTTGCGCAGGTATACCGGTCCGATCCACCGCAACGTGTATGGCGGACCTAAAACTTTTTCGTACCTCAGTTGCATTTTGAATAAGCGGGCCTTAGGTGAGTGCTACGACTGTCAGAGGGCCACAAGGTTTCGTCATATTTTCAATTGTTATTCTTTTAATACTTTGGAGTTATTTGCGAAATGAAAAGTCATTAAGTTATCGGAAATTAAGGTCATCTCAGATTAATATTCTGTGGGAATTGAAATGTAAACAATCCGTGCATTTCCATATCTCAGCTACCGACTGCGCGAAATGCCTCTGAACTATGCCAGCGTGGATTTCGAGTATACGAGACGAGCGTCGCAACTGAAGAGAGAAGACGTGCAATGCCTGCGGGAATGGCTCGCGAAACAGCCGCATCTTCCGGAGATTCTCGGTAAAACCATCGCTTATCTCTTGATCGAATGAAATGGTTTCTTTTTAGAGATGGAAATGATCTTCTTCCTTCTTAGCTGTGATTGCAGCATTGAGATGACTAAAGCCACAATCGATAGTCACTACACCTTACTAGCGCTGAGCCCTGAAATCTACGGCGCGCGAGACTCAAGAACGTGGGACGGAATACTGAACACTCAGTATGTTTCGGGAATCGGTCCCCTAATCACTTAAAGTTGTTTATAGCGTTCTGGTACCATTGCCAACATTAACACCAGAAGGGTACCAAGTGGTTTACTCAGGCCTCAACGATAGAGATCCCACCAAATATGTTTACGCTGACTTTATAAAGCTGATATGCACTGTCTCCAAGCTCTCACTGATTCAAAAGGGAACGGTCAATGGGTTGATTTGTATTTGTGACATGGAAAGGTACTCGATTTCGCACGTTGCCCGAATACCCATCACGGTTCTCAAGAAGTTCCTGGCGTTTGTCCAGGTGAGTAGATTTCCGACGCGCCGAAACTGACGAATTCTTCAGGAGGGTCTCCCGTTACAACTCAAGGCGTTTCATCTAATTAACGCCGGTTCCAAAATGGACGCCATTCTGGCGATTGTCAAGCAATGCGTCAAACATGAAATATTTAAATTGGTTCGTCACCACGCTCGCCTGCCGCTTGTTTAACTCTCAGCTTCCAGATACACGTCCACAGTGACTACACGAAGACCTTGTACGACCATGTCCCAAAGGAGTGTTTGACTGTAGAACTTGGCGGGACTAATGGATCAATGCGCGACCTTTACGGTAAGTCCAAAACTGGACGGTCAACAACGATGCTGACGTTATTGTAGGGGAAGTTAAGGCTATGGTCTTGGAGAACATGGATTTTGTCATGGAGGACGAGAAAAAAGTTGCCGATGAATCCAAACGGCTTCAAAAATCCAACAAGTTTGATAGTCTCTTTGGAATTGAGGGCACCTTTAAGAGGCTGGAGATTGATTAAACCTGCTCAAAGGATAATCGGAATTTGGTTACGTGTTTCACATTTGAAAACATTTTTTAACTCATTTTTTACCAGATAAAATCGGCAAGAAAATGTTGTATTGAAATTGTAAAATAAAAAATTCCTGTATGGAACTTTGTTACTGTTTAGTGTACCTAATTGGAAAAAATCCTCAGTAAGCAGTTGCACAAGAAATACGATTATAATGACGTCTCCTATAATGGGACCGATTGAACTAAATTTATTGCTGAAACTTTGACAGTTTTTTTAGTTATAATTCCGCCACTTTATACGATTTAATTTAATTTTATACAACTTAAATTTTCCCAAAGAAAGTTTCGTAACAACACCGAAATTTTCTTTTTAATTCCCTTTTGTAATGAAGTGAATTATATTAAATTATATTAAACCCTACGTGTTGCGTGTGAACATTTATAGTTCGCGTTAACGTTGCGTTAGAACGGTTACGGTACGTAGGAAATGCCCAAATCTTATTTCTTACGGCAAATCGTGCTCACGCGTTTGTCGTCGGCAGTACTCGGATAATTCAAACAGTTGAGTTTATCCTGACGTTCGTTTCGTTTATTTACAATAATTATTGACACTTTGTTGGTTATTATTATTTTGAAATGCACGTTACTCTTACTGACAGATGACATACAATGGCAGATCTCGTTTCGCACTAATGCGCAAGCTCATCTCTTACCACTACGGTAACTATAAATCGTATAATTTTCGTTAACGTAAGATTTTACGGTTCCGTTCTTACGGCTACGGAACTATAAATCCGGCTTAATAGCTTTTACGCTACCAAACGGCTGATTTGGATTTAAACTGTACACGCCACCTTGGACTTTATTTTATCTTTTATTTGTTATCGTACTTTTTATGACGGAGTTGACATGTGTTTAGTCCTAAGCGGGGCACTGTTTTATTTTGGTTTCTCATAA